TGGAGCTGATTCTTTGGAATGGTCAAAAAGACAGGCACCATCCCTAGGCTCATGAAGCCCACACTTCAGAAGATAAGATGGACAAGAAAATTAAGCAGTACACCTGCTGATTTCAGGTAACAGTAAGGACCACGAAGAAAATAAAAAGAGTTAAGACAAATACAACTTTAGGGGATGCTCAAGAAAGTTCTCTAAAATTAAGATAATGAAGCAATGATCTGAATGCCAAGAACAAGCCAGACAAAGAGAAGGACATTTGAAGAGAAATAATAACAAATGCAAAGACCCTAAGACATACATGAACATGATGAGTTCACGGTATGGAAAGAAAAACCCCTCCTCCACCTTGGCTTACATATAAGGAAGAAAGGGAGAGGGGAGAGGCTGGAGACCAGGGAGGAGAACTACACAGAGGCCAGATCACATGAAGTCTCATTGGTCATGATAAAGTATTTTTACTTATTCTACGTGTATTAGAAGCCATTAGAAGGTTTAAGGAAAGAAGCGATACGATCTAATTTCAAGTTGATACCATTTACACACAATTTTAAAAAACAGCAATCTACTATACAGGAAAATAAAGTGGATCATTGGTTGTGCTGGGCTGAGAGTGTGGGTTCTAACTGCAAAGAGGCACAAAGAGGTATTTTTTAGGGCAACAGAAATGTTCTGTCTTGATTGTAGTAATGGTTATATGGGTATATACATCTGTCAAAATTCACTGAACTATACTCTTAAAATTGCAGGTATATGTATTTTACCTCAAAACAAAGTTGATTTTTTAAAAAATGGTCCCATTGGCTGCTGTCTAGAGAAGGGATTGCCAAGTAAAAGTGGGAGGACCAGTTAGAAGCCTGTCACTGTGGATCAGGTGAGCAACGATGCTGGCTTGGATTGGGGCAGTCCCAGTAGTGATACGGAAGTAAGTTGATACTACATTTATATTTTGGAAGTACAACAATAAGAGTTTCTGACACTGGGTTAGGGGGTGAAGCAGGGAATACCTTGCTAAGTGCTTAAAAGCCATTTTTAGTGGTTCATTTATAATGCCAGAGTCCCCAGGCAAGCCCATTTAGGTGACATGGTTAATTCTCTCTCATAATTCTCTCTCATAGGCATTTAATCTCCAAATTGTGGAGTAGAGACCAGCTTAAGGAACTGGCATATCCCACGCATCTTTAGTTAAGCAGCACTATGCTCCAACTTGCTATAGCTGAACTAGGAAGGTGATCCTGTTTTTTTAAAATGCCACTGAACTGTGCCTTGCATAGAGTAGGTATTCAATAATAGTTGCTACATTTACTTACTCTGTCACTGCCATTACTATAACAACTGGCCTTTTCCCCCTGTAAGTTGCCAGTAATAAGGATAGAAGCTGAGTGGGAAGCTGAATTTTAGACTGCTTCCCTGATGCACAGTGACAACTGTGATATTCTCTGCAACTAATAAGGTCAAGCTATGGCTGCTGGCATCTTCTCAACTAGGAGGGTGACCCGCCTACAGCTGTGAGAGATGAACCTGCAAAGTGACTGTCCAGACTTTGCGGGATGGAAGGAAGCAAGCTGAGTGCAGATAACATCAAAGTCAGAACTGCATGAAGAGTGTGAACAACTATATACGTGTAATTCACACACACACACCCCCATCCCCTACAAGCCCTTCTTACTCAGATGAAGTGGCCCTCTCTCTAGGCTTACACAATCATCTCTCCTTTTTCTAAATTTAGACACAACTTCTGAAGTGTTTTACAGACACTGATAGTATTAATAATGTTTGCAATTTACAATTTGTCTCTTCCTCACCTCCTTCTGCATTCACTCAGTACTTAATGTGTGTGTCAAAATTGGGGCAGGCATCAGAGCTACTAAGAGGAATGAGATGTGACTCTGCAGTCTTCCATTTATTAATCTAGTCACATTCAAGTAGCCAAGTA